GGCCCAGCAGCTAATCCATCCATGCCATTCTGATAGACCTAGAAACCTGAAGCAGAGACAAGGCTGCTTTTGCAGAATCCTCTCTCTCTCTCTCTCTCTCTCTCCCTCCCTTTTTAAATCCACTCATATTGTCCCACCCCACCGTCACTCAACTCCTAACATGCCTAGGAAGCTTCAGCACAGGAACACATGTAGGATGTCCCACACACGGGACAAGATAGCAACCTCCTTAGGGAAGTAGACATGACAGAAAACTCCTGAGTTCCAGCCAATTCCTTAGACTTGTCTTCACTTCCTAGAAGGCTGGGACGGGAAGGAAGAGGCAAGATGTTGCCCACCATGATGTTACATGCTTGTAATCCCAGCACTCTTGAGGCTGAGGCAGGAAGATCACTGAGCTCCAGTCCAACCTGGCCTACCTAGTGAGTTCCAGGCCAGCCAGGGTTACGTAAGACCCTGTCTCAAAACACTAAATTTCAAAGTAAAATAAAATATAATAATGATTTCTCCCTGCCCCTCACAGACCTTCATCTGGTACCTCTGGAATCAACCACTGGAAAATGATTCCTTCTTGCAGGTCATCCTTCAAGATGAAGGCTCTAAAAAGAAACAAAGGTAAGACAGAAAGAGGTAGGAGGAGTCTGGTTCCCTGACCAAAGCAGCGGTGAACCAGGCATCTCATTTCTAACCCATAACTAACTCAGTTTAAGGACCAGCCAGCACCCACGCCACCCAGTAAAGAAAAATGTAGGGTGGGATTAAAGAAGTACTGAGACCCAGAGATGAAGTTGGTTAGGATACCAACTTGGGTGCCAGCAGCCCAGCAGCAGCTCTGTTTGAAAGCCACAGATCTTGAATGTCCGCCTCATTCCAGCCTCTTCCGGGCAAAGCCCAACTCCAGCACCCAGCCCAGGCTAACATCCCACTAGGCATACCACAGGCCTTTTCCAGAACGTAGAATTTCATTGGTCCATCTTGGTCAGGTGCCCATCTTTGATCCAGTGAGCTACTAATTTTCTTAGGATTCCCCAAGTGGAGAGGCCCCTGCCCCCACCCCACCATCACTGTCAGTCCTTCAGTCTTCTGGTGACTGCTCTGCTTACCTGGAATCTTCAGGCTCTGGGGGGGAAAATCATCCCTAGTACACAGCCTGGGACACAGGAGGAACCCTCTAGCCTGGCTCAGAATCTCATACCTGCCCCTTGCCTTCCCCAGGTTCATTGGCCTGGCCACTGTACTGCTTAAGCAGCTGGTGAAACGACCCAATGAAGTCCTTTTCGTGAAGAACCTGATCCTGCTCAACCATTCCATGAGCCCCACTGATGTGAGTCAGGCACCCGATAGCCCAGGCAGAGCAACTGGAGGAGTATGGGCTGCTGGTATAGCTGAGTGTCTTGTTCCAGGAGCAGCCAAGGGCTCCCCGACAAAGGAGTCCTTTGTGCCCCCAAAGGGCCCCCATTGCCCTGTCCTTCCTGTCATCTGGTTCCCCATTCTGCCATCCATCTCCTAGGTACCCTGCCATCTTCCCTGGAGGCAGTCGCTGTGCTGGGCACTGGGACTCAAGACTGAATGGTGGCAGGCAAAACAAGGGGAAAGCTTTGCAGTAGAGAGAAGGGAAGGCGTTGGTGTGCCCCTGTTGGAGCCTGATGCTGGGGGGGGGGGGGGGGAGGCCAAAGACAGGTTCACTTCAGTGATTGGATAGAAACTCACACGTGGCTTTTCCTGGTTGGTCCTATGAGATAGAAGCCTGAGAACCTGAATTCAGTCCCCTCGACTCACATGGTAGAAGGAGGATATTGACTCCCACAGGTCCTCTGACCTCCACACACTTGCACCTTGGCACAAACATGCTCCCCTCCCCCACTTACACGACAAAAAGTAAAACTCAGGTCGGCTCTCAGCTTGCTATTTATCAAATCCTGGTCATTTGGGGCTGATAGCTATCGCTTGGCTTCTTGGCTTGTTGTTAGAGATAGCAGACTGACTTCCTCCAAGTCTGACACAGGGAAGGCTGACCTTCTGGGCTGCTTTCTGTGTCTCCTGGACTGGTGGCTACAGTGAGAACTCTGTTATATGTGATGTGGTCATCACCCACATAGATATAAAGTCTCTCAGAAGGATGAATTTTTCCACGGGCCTGGAGAGGCAGGTCCCCCAGCAGAAGTACCAGGAATATGGGGAGGAGGAGGGTTCAGGGAGGGCAAGCCGCCTGAGCTACTGGGACAAGGTGGAGGTGAAGACAAAGGCAGGGACAAGAAATGAAGGGGTTTGTGGTGTGTGATGCTGGCTAGGGCTTGATTCTAATAATTTAAACAGGTAGTGGGTGTCTGGTGGACAATTCTGAGAGTCTAAAGACGGGTGGTGGGTGAGGAGTATTTGGAGGAAGGATGTCAGTTTTCCTAGATCAGAAAACATTAAAATTGCAGTGTGGGGGTGGGTAACGCCCTAGTTAGCACCATGGTCCAGGACAGGTCCTGAGTCACACTTCCCTTTTCTCAGCAACCTCTTGGGTATTTTGCCATTGATATCATTTTAATTCCGTTACCTTCCAAATCCCCTCCACTGTAACCCATTGCTAGCTCTTCACCAGTCTGATGTCTGATGATCCCGGCAGCAAGCCCTGTCTCATGGCTAGTCTCATGTCCCCCAGGAGGAGGAGGAGTATTGGATGAACGCAGTTAGATGAGGAAGTCTGGTGCTATAAATTATTAAATATTTCAAGATCTGGCTTTCAACTTCCTGCTTTTGTTTTGTAGTGTACCATCACCCTACAGGTGGCCCAAATACATGTCCAGGATATTGAGATGACAGGTATGTGTTTCCCTAGGGTGCTACCAAGCATATCTAAATGGGTTCTTTGGGACCTTTGAGACACAACTCTTAAGGCCTACCAAAAGATTGTGACCAGATAAAGGTCCTTGGAAGTTCTATGGACCTTACACTGTTTATTGGCTTGCTCCCCATGGTTGGTTCAGGCTATCTTCTTACACAACCCAGGACCACCTGTTCAGGGTGACACTACCCGTAGTGGGCTGGGCCCTCCCACAGCAATCATTAATCAGGAAAAGTTGCCCATAGACTTGCTCACATGCAATCTGACAGCGGACAATCTCTCAATCAAGGTTCTCTTTTCCCAGACGACTCTAGATTTGTGTTGAGTTGACAGAAAACTAGCCAGCCCAGCCACGCATCTCCCCTTCTCCATTTCTCACCTCTGGACAAGGCTTATCTTAATGGGGAGGGGGCAGAAGGACCTAAGGATGGCCATTTCCAAGAGCTCCCATGTCTGAAGAGTAGGGTCCAGGAATCCATTAGTGTTGCGGATGAGAGGGGCCGATGAACACATTCAGAGAAAAACATGCGTCCCATCAGGGTCAAGTTTCTAGTCATGTGTAGGTCACAGGAGACAGAATGGTTAAAAGGCGAAAAGGCACGAAAGCCTTCTCAACTGCCAACCCTGGACCTTTTCCTTAGACAATGAAGAACTCCTGAGCTCAACCGCAAATAAGACGGCCCAGCAGAAGCTAGCGGTCCCCGGCCTCACCATGCACAGGGCTCTGGCTACCAAGCCGCAGCACTTTCAGGTGAGGGACTAGAGAGACTGTGTAACCACACCTGCTGCTAATGCCCTTTTTCCAGAAAGCAGAACTTCCCATCCTCAGGTCCTCACTGCCCCCGTTTCTTCAGGGACTACTCTGGAGAGACTCTACCTGAGGCTGGAGCCGGACTGCTCCAGTGAGGCTAGGAGGGGCTTGCTGAGCCCTGGAGGCTCTGACAGACCTGTGCAGGGAATGCAGAGCGGAAGGTGCAGGCGCCACCTTTTCAGAGCCTTCGCGTTGTTGGCAAAGAAAGCCACCCATGACTTCCGTGAGAATTCAGGAAGCCCATCCCAGGCCTCACCAACTTCCCTCGGACCCCCACCACTTAGCCTAGCACTTCTACTGTGGGTTTGCCCGTTCCCTGACCCTGCATATTCCCAGGAGGTATGATCCAGCCTTAAGTGCCCCTTTTTCCTGCATCCAGTCCATGGCCAAGTCCTGTCACCTCTTCCACTCCCTGGCCTGAGCCTCAACTGTCCCTTCCTTGGACCCTGTGGAGAGACATTCTCCTCCTGAAGCCCTGGTCAACATAGCTATCCATTCTTTGGTCAATAGTATTTTCAAAGATGCCCAGTGGTCATGTCATACGTCTGTCTGAAATCCCTAGAGTCAATGCACACCTGGAATCCCAGCTACTCAGAACAGGGTTGGGAGCTGAGGATGTAGGATCAGGTGTTAGAGGCCAATCTGGGCCACATAGGAAAAAGCTATTTTAAAAAAATTAGCCATAGTGTTTTGAGTCCTTATGATGACTGATCAGGCCCTTGATAAACCAAGCCTGCATGTTGTTATTTTTGTTTGGTTGGTTGCTTGGTTTTAGTTTTCTGAGACAGGGTTTCTCTGTGTAGCCTCCTTAGCTGTCCTAGAACTCTCTCTGTAGACCAGGCTAGCCTTGAAATCAGAGAGATCTGCCTGCTGCTGCCTCCAAAGTGCTGGAATTAAAGGCGTGCGCCACCACCACATGGCTCCCAAGCCTGCTTTTTCTTTTATTTTTTCTAATTATTTTTTTCCATTTATTTTTACATACCAACTACAGTTTCCCCTCCCTCTTCTCCTCCCATTTCCTCCCCACCTCCCGTCTACCCCCTCCCCACCTCCCATCTACCCCCTCCCCA